AGAGAGGAGGAAAATGGGGAAAAAGCACAAGGTGAACCCCGCTGCAGACAGTGTAGCGTGCCTGTCCCTGGCTGGCACCCGGCAGCACCATCTTCCCAGCCATTCCCTCCCGGAGCTCAGCAGACTTTCCTTCTGAGAAGACTAATATCTGCTTCCGAGTTTTCTCTCTCCCTGCTTCCTGGTCCTGTGTCCCTACAGGCTCTGTCTGGGCACCATGAGACCTGGGCCCTGGGGTGACTATGAGCAGGAAAGGATCTTGCTGGACCTGAGAACCTGTGCCCTTTGCCATTCCCCTGCAACCAGGCGAGGGCACAGGGAAGCAGAGCGCAGGCCCCCTCCGCCCCTTTCCTCATGCTGTGCATTATTTCCCTGGGGGTGGGGTGTGCCTGGACTGACACAGCACCAGCAAGGAGGCTTATTGGGTCTGGAGTCCTGGGCACCCGTGTGAGACCCAGCTAGCTGGACAGGGTCTATGCACATGGTGCCATGTGCACGGGAAGCAGAGGGACCCTGGTCTAAGTGGGGAACCGGCTGTCGGTCAGGGGCTTGGAGGAGAGGGCTTGGATATGTGTCCCCCCAACCCCTTTTACCCCCTAAGGCCTGGAGCGGGGCCCATGTGCTTGAGGCCCAGAGCCCGGGCACTCAAGCGTGGGGTCCAGTGGCATGGACAGGCCCCTGCTCCTTGGCTCCGGCAGTCACCTGACCTGGTGGTTTCATGACAGCCCTTCCATGGTCCGGCCATCTTGGGGATCAAGTGAGGTAACCTGTGATGGCTCAGCTTTGTGGGGTTCGTGCTGTCCCATCTGTCTTCCTCGCCCAGGGTTCAGCTAAAATAACCAGGGCCCCCGACGCAGGAGCCAGGCTGTCAGCGCTCCTGCCACACAATATGGCAGAGGAACTTGGGGAGACTGTTTTGACTGGCAGCTCCTTCTCCAGCGCAGACTGGCAGCTGGTTCAAGGTCTCTTGAAAGAGGCCCTCTCCTCCCGCGCTGAGTAGGAGAAGCGAGAGCTGTGAACCAGCAGCGCGACCGTCCTCCCTCCTCAGAGGCTGCGGCGACAGGAACCCCCACCGTGGCCAGCTCCCTCCCATGCCTCGCCCTGCCTCCCTGTCTCCTCGATTTACTGTTAGCTTCAAGTCTCCTTTCTGCCTTGCTCGGGTCCCCATCCACTTTGATCTTCCCACAAGCTTTGTTTCCGCCCCGCATGCTCCACACTCAACTGGTGGCTGCGTCCTCCCTCTCAGGAGCATTAGTGCCCTTCCTGGCCTCCCTCGAAGGGAGGGCGGCTTTTATCTCCCCGCAGAATCTCATTAGCTCCCAGCACAATGGGACCCAACCTGCCTGCCACTAAATTAGTTAATAGAAAGCTTTTTTGCCCCAGGCCTGCTTTTTCCCCATCTTCCATGTGAAACAAAAAACAACTTTGTTGTTAAAAAGTGTAAAACAAAACATATTGAAGGTGGAAGCTTTGAGGAGAAAGATCACATAGCATGTGACTCTCCCAGCTCCACAGCCAGTCCTCCCCAGCAGCGGTCAGGTTGGGGGAGAAAGAAGAGCCTCACTGCAAATCAGCTGGCTGTTGCCTCCTGTTACCGTGTGCTGTGATTGGTGGGGATTGGGGGAAGCTAAGGGCCCACCCGCGGCAGGAAAGAGGAAGCGGGAAAGGGAGTACTTGCCACCGACCTTGGGGAAGGGAGCCAGGCTTTGGCCACACCCCTGACGGGTCATGGAGACTGAGCAGAGGCCACCTGTGAGTCCGGTGCCGTGGCGTGTGCGTGACCGGCGGGGGATTTCCTGGTTCATGCAGCTGCTTTTCCGGGTGGGCTGCAGCCCGGCAGCCAGAGGTGCAGATCTGACCTGCGGTTTGCCCACAAGTCTGGCCTCCCAGAAACCTGGCCATGCCAGGAGGTGGCATAGGTGCCACCGCCATCTGCTCTGCACACTGGAAGGGCCCCCGAGAGGACGCCACACCAGCCGCTCCTCCACAGCCGCATGCATTTGGGCATCCTGCAGCCTCTGTGCAGATCCACGCCACCCCTGTCACGGAAGCAAGGCCAGCACCCACTTGGGTCTCGTGGGGGTCAGCTGAGGGGCACGCAGGGCTTGGCAGTTCCTGTAAGTGGATGAACAGCCTGTGACCCTAGAAGAGCCTTTTAGGGGTAAGGGCAACCCCACCATTGCACAGGGTCAGTGTCTCACTATCACCCTAAGCCCCCTTATAAAATTTGGGTGATCCGTTCATTTCACAGTCCGTGAGAAGGACAGACTGCCTTGCCTGAGACTCCTCTGAGGTGCCCCGGAACCAGACGCCTTCCTTTTGGGAGCACCTTCTCCAGAGCATGGTCCACCTTGCTGCTCAGAGCCCAGGCCTCAGCCCCAGCCTGCTCACCGGGCCCGCTTGTTGGTACCGAGTGAGGTGTGTGCTCGTCACCACCGGCGTTCTTATACCCTCACAGGTGTCCCAGGGCTGGGTACCCTCTGCTACCCCCGCTGCCCAGATAGGAAAGTGCCACAGAGGGTGAAGGAACCTTCCCCAGGTCAAGTTCTGGAACGGGTGGGGCCATGATCCAGACCTCGCCCTGGCAGGAAAACGTGGCCGTTGGGCTGTGGCTGGGGGTGGATGGGGCAGAAGCGTGGAAATGGGGTGACTCGCTGCAGAGAGCAGGACTGGGGAGGCTCACGAACCACGGCTGGACAAGCGGAGCTGGCCTGGGGTCGGCCTTTGCCTCCGCCGAAGCTGGGTTCGTCTCGTGGGATGCGTGCACAGCCCAAGTCCAGCGGAAGCCAAGGTGAGAGTCGGCCGAGGAGGGGGTGAGGACAGGAGCGCAGGTCTGTCGGGCCGGGAAGAGGAGTGGGATGAAGCCGGGCAGCTAGGGCACAGTCTGGGCCCGGGTCCAGGGCATCTTGGCGCAGTCTCATCCGCACTTGGGCAGAGGCCCAGCCTCAGAGGCCATGCGGGCGCTGTGGTGAGGGAAGCGGCTGTGAGGCCATGGGATGCTCAGGCCGGCTGCAAGGGCGAGGCCCTGCGCCAGCACCACCCCTCAGCTTCCCAGGGTGGGGTGACACAGGGCAGGCCCAGGCCCCGGGCTCAGTGGTGGCGCCGAGCAGAGCCTGTGGAAAGCCAACCCTACGCCAACCTGTGCGGCTGTGCAGGTCCCCCGATGCCTTGGAGGAGGCTCGGGGAGTTCCCTGCGTTTAAATCTTGCTTATTTGTGTTAAAAAACAGGGTGGTGATACACTTTGGGGGGCAAAGGCAGGAGGATCACCAAGTTCAAGCCCCGCCTGGGCAACTCAGTGACTTAGCAACATCCTCTCAAAACTACAAATAAAACACAGCTGGGGGTGTAGCCCAGTGTGAAGACCCTGTGATTAAGCACCAGTACCCCCCACAGGGGGTAAAAGGATTCTCCCAAAAAAAGCAAAGCATCCCTGCCTCAGATGTGGCCTCCAAGTCGCAGGCCCCAGGCCAGGCCAGCTCTGGCCACCGAATGGCTATGCTCACCCTTCCTGGGGGCTCCCAGGGCTGCTGGGAAGAAGTAGCATGCAGGACTGAGCCGCCCACACGCTCCTCCACAGTGGGCCTGCACCCGGGCATTTTAGAATAGCAGGGTCGGGAGGGGTTCATTGAGAACCGGCTGCTTTCACACCCGCAGGTGCCGAAGCACCGGGCTTCCGGTCAGCCCTGACAGTGCCGCCCCTGCAGGCTCGCAGCCCGGAGCCAGAAGGCGAGGACTGTGTGGCATTCAGGTCCACTGCTCCTGTTTGTTCTACTGGGCTTCAGAGCCGCTCTTTTCACCCCAGCAGTCACCACCAGCCCTTTCGTAGAGTTCTCATTAACAAAGAGCATTGCTCATTTTAGAAAGCTGTCTGTCAAAGCTCCCAAAATAAAGGCAGCCTGGCACGTGGAAGAATAAGTGCCATCTCTCTTGAAAGTCCCCGGGTAAGAACAGCTCCGCCATGCAGGACGCAGGGCTGCGGGCACCTGGGCAGGGAGGCCGTGCGGGCCTCTACGTTTCTTTCCTTCTTCAGCAAGTATGTGCCGAGCACCTGCTGTGCCCCTGACATGCTCTGGCTTTGGGGACAGCAGGGTGGGAAAGAGCAAGGGTAGGGGCTTCCTGTGCCCGGCCCTGTCTTGTGACGGCAGAGTCGCGCACCCTGCATTTCACCTAAGGAGGCTGAGGCTGGGCTCCCTCAGAGCGGGCAGCTGTCCTCATGGTGTTGTGTGGCCTCTGCCTGCAGGTGTGGACACAGCCGGCCTGACTTGAGGCACTTGGCGGCTCACCCCGGGGGTCGGGCCAGCTCTCCGGCCGCCCCCTGCACTCGGCATGTCCCGCGCACAAGTTAGCCCTGGTTGGTTCTTGTTCTCAGTGAGTGATTTTAGCTGCAGTTTTTGTTTTGTTCTTCAGCCACATTTATACTACCAAGAATCTCTAATGAGGATAATCAAATAAACCATTAGTTTGAACACAACTATCAAATTAGCAGAATCTATTAATTTGCTGATTGATGGTGGCATTAGCACTTTGTGGTGTCATCACATTTCAGGACTGCAGGGCATCTTGGCGCAGCAGAGAAAACTTTAGAGTCAGAGGATGAGTCGCTGGCTCAGGATCGGGACGGCACCAGGCAGAAGCCCAGGGCCCCATGCGGGGCCACTCGACGCCTCCATGGCCCTGGAAGCAGGAGGACAGGGATGCTGTCGGCCGGAAGGCTCTCTGTGGCGCTTCGGGTTTCGTCGGCCTCCTGCCGCTCCAGCCTGTGCGTGTGTCAGTGGACAAACGTCCCACCTTCCTCGTGCCCCCAGGCTGGTGTCCTCTCCGCTCGCCCCTTCCCTCCCTCCTCCCGGCCCGCTCTGCTAACTCATTTTCCTATGTGAGATTTTATTTTAGATGTCCTTCCTCCGAGGGATGTCCAGAAATCAAAGCTGCCACGTACAAAGCAGAGCGTCTGTCCCCCTGGTTTGCTGTGGCTGCTAATCCAGTCAGTGTCCTTCATTTCCAGGTGACAGACCACGCCACCACCGCCCTGCTCCACTATCAGCTACCCCAGATGCCCGACGTCGTGGTCAGATCCTTCATGGTGAGTCCCAGCTCCGGCCCCTCAGGCGAGGGCAGGCAGCCCCAGAGTGGAGGTGGTGGGCGCCCTGGGCCTTCAGGGGCCTCCGGTGGGAGATGGGCACCTGGGCTGCTGGCCTCCGCCTGGGAAGAGATCGGGAGAAGCACTTCTGGCCGGTCACTGGGTCTCCACACTGCTGCACAAGTGGCGATCTCGGTGTGACCCCCAAAGTCTGCAGCACTGAGTGAGTTTATCAAGCTCCTGATCTGCGCCGAGCCCTGTGCTGACCTGGCCTCCTGCTCTCGCGTCCTGGGCCCCCACCCCTTGTCACCCTGCAGGGAGGGCTGCAGGTGGACCCCACCCACACCTGCCCGGCAGCAGGTCCAGCAGGGGACTGCCCACCCAGCGCACTGTGCCACACGGCCCAAACCTAGTCTTCCGAGGGAGCCTGTGAACAGACGTAGACCCAGCTCACAGTGGCCTCGTGGTGCGGGAGGATGTGGGGGCCACAGAGGGCTCTTGCCAGTGCTGAGCACAGTCGGCTGAGTCCTCGCCGTGAAGGCTGTTTGTCACCTAGACGCTATTTCACCACCGAAGGCCCTGGGGCCACGCTGGGGATCTTTCTGGGTAGCCGCAGCAGCTCTGCAGGTAACAGCGGTCTTACCAGCAAGGTGGAGGAGCCCCTTCCAATGCAGTGCACATGCGCCCCTTCGCGGAGTGCACTGCCTCCAGGGTGGGCTGGCCTCCTCAGGCTGCTGTTCACAGCGAATCTCCTTGAACTGGAGAATTGAGTTATGTGCACCTCATCCTTATGGATGGCGCCGGGAGAACTCTGCCCTCTGAACTGCTAAAGCGCGTGTGTGCTGCTTATTATGTACTTGGTGGCAGTGGGGCCACCCCCACTGCCACCGGGTGTATTAGGCCACAGCCATAGTAAGAGATGACCCCTCTGATCAGATGAGCCGGGAGCCGCCGTCCTGTGTTCCGAGAGCCCCTCCCGCCCGTGTCTGGGTGAGGAGCAAGGAGCAGGGGTGGATGGGCTATCAGGAGGCTCCGGGCTCCTGCAGGACAGCACCTTGAGGAGCCCCTCCCCTGCAGAGCCAGAGCTCCTGTGAAGAGCCGCTCGGTGCTGAGGGGAGAGGGACCGAGGCTAAGTGAGATCACTGGGCATCTCCCGGGCCTGTGTCCTCAGGCCCGCTGGTCCTGCTGGGTGAGAGTGTGTGAAGTACCCCGTCCCGTTCTCTCTCTGCTTCTCTGTTTAGACTTGGTTGAGAAGCTACATAAAGCTGTTCCAGGCGCCCTGCCAGCGCTGCGGGAAGTTCCTGCAGGACGGCCTTCCCCCCACGTGGAGGGACTTCCGGACCCTCGAAGCCTTCCACGACACCTGTCGCCAGTGAGCCCTCCCAGCCCCGAGCCTGCAGACGGCCCCGGCATCTTCCCCCCAGCTGCAGTGATCCCCGGCCCTCTCACCACCTTAGCCGCCCCAGCTGTGTCCCGCTGCCCACCGCTCCGGGTGGGGACTGTCACATCAGCACATTCTGCTCTTCCTGTGAGCCAGGACACCAGCGAGGCAATCCTCTGTGTCCCTATCAGAGCCATTTTCATGGCTGTCACCTGCATGTGCCCCTGTGCTCGTGTGCATTGTCTTGCTGGGGCTGAGGGTTTTCTGGTTTTGTAACTTATTTTTATAAACAATAAACCTTTTGTACCCAGAGCAAGGCCTTGGCTCCTCTCTCATGGCCCTTTTCCTCCCGCTCCTGTGTTTAGAGCAGCTCTTTGAGGACGCTTCCCCTTCCTTCATGGAGACGGCTGCGCTGACAGAGACTCCTCTTCCAGGGCTCAAGTGGCTCGAGAAACAGAGGCCAAGGCACGCGGGTGTCTCTGCTGAACCCGAGGAGCCCGGCCCCCAAAGCGGGAGCAGCCTTCGGGAGGCGCCACGTGCCCGGCCCCTTCTTCCCCACCCTGTCCATTAGTTTTAACTACTGCAAACCTGTGCCAGCCGGACCTGCCTGACGCCAGCCCACAGAGCCACAGCCCTGTCTGTGAAGACGGCTGCCCTGGCACAGGCTGGGGAGGGAGAGCGCCTTTCCCCGGCCAGCGTGCGGGACAGTCGGCTTCTCGCTGCCACGAGCAATGTCGCGAGACGCTGCGGGAAGGCCGGTGTGGTTCCCAGCCCTCCCTGCCTGCCCCGCGGGCCTTAGGAGCCAGGGCATGGTGGACGTGGTGGGATGAGGGACATGGCCCGGTGCCGTTCTGCATCTATTTCCCGCCACCGCGGCTTAGAAACAGCCAGTCACGCCCTTCAAGCGTGAGTGCGGCGCAGGCTGCAGCCGGGCCTCTGCCCTCGGGGAAGCGGGAGGCTGCGGTGTGTTGCACGCCCTTTCTGTGGAGGGCAGTTGGAGAGAAAGTGCCGCGGCTCAGCAGATCTAAGATGCACGGTCACTTCAGGAGCCCCTGAGAAAAGCGCACGCTGCGTTCACCGACGGCCAGGCCTCCGCTGACCCCGCGGGATGCAGATCAGTCACCCGGCCTCATTGGTGTGAAGTCGTCTTCAGCTGTGCGAGGGGCTGGCGCAGTCTCGGCCTTGCGTCTCGTTGCCAGCCCGTGACAGGCAGGCCCTGTCTGCGGCTCCCGGCCACAGCCCGGGACATGGCTCCCCTGCCTGCCCACCTTGCCTGGTGCCGGGGCCATGCTGACATTTCACTCCGTGCTGCTCATCTTCCCACGGACGTTTCCGTGGTGGGCGAGCTGACCCTGCGCGGTGCCGGCGGCGGGCACGGCCCACGTGTGGTGACGTGATGGTGCTGGTAGGGCACGTGCAGCGTGACGGGCCCCCGTGACAGCCAGCTGGCAGGCAGCGCGCGTCAGAGTCGCTGGGATGTGAAGAAGCACCACGGGTGGGTGAAGAGGTGGTGACGGCAAGCTCGTGAGGAAGCTGTGGGATTTTGAGCTGTTCCTCCTGCCTGCGCTGAGGCCGGGAGCGGCCCACGGCGGAGCCTCAGCCTCCCCGCCCCTGTGTGCAAGCGAGCCTACGGGCCTTGGTCCTGCTTAGACTCCAGGGGCCAGGGCTCTTATTAGAGACGCCCTCTGTGGACAGCGGTGAGACTGTTTCCCATCTACAGGAGCACCAGAAGTTAGTGACTTGAGCGGAGAGTGACTGTTAAAGGGAGACGCCACACAAACAGCAGCACAGCCGGAGGGCAGGGCAGGCGGGCGGGCGGGCAGCAGGTGGTGGTGCCCAGACCAGGGCCTCAATCCCAGCCTCCTTCCAGCGCTGCTTGCCGGAGCTAAGCAGGGTTGGTACTCGGGGCCAGTAGGGGGAAGGCAGCTTCTGCACAGCATGAGATGGCTGGGAGCAGTCGCAGCATCCCTGCTTTTTTTTTTTTTTTTTGTCTTTTTTTTGAGACAGGGTCTCGCTATGCAGTTCAGGCTGGCCTGCAGCTCACTCTGTAGCCCAGGCTGGTCTTGAACTTGCAATGATCCTCCTGCCTCAGCCTCCCGAGTGCTGGGATTACAGGCATGTGCCACCACACCCGGCTCATAAGAGACCCTAATTTATTTATTTATTTACTTTTTGGATTCTTTCTGGTACCGGGAATCGAACTCACGACCTTGCACTTGCCAGGCAGGCACTGTGCCACTGAGCTAAATCCCCAGCCTCCATCCCTGCATTTTAAAGGGGATGGAACACGACGGTTGGATCGGGTGTCCTCAAGGCCTTTCTAGTTCTGATAGGTAAGGGGCTGACCCGAAGTGGGCACACACCGAGACTCGGCACCAGGGCTCTCTCCCCGGGCAGAGGGTTCAAGACCTCTCTATTTGGACCACGATGCTGTCCGCTGGCCAAGGGACCTCAAACCACCAGGCTCCCACTAGGAGCTAACTGTGGGACAAGCAGGCCTGGGAGAGCTTGTCCGGCCTCTTCATCTGAACTAAATTGGGAATTGGCCTTTCGGTATCGAGTGATGTTTTCACACTTCACACCACGGACGGCTCGAGACGATGATCTTTCAGTGTTAATGCACCAGTTTGCCGTTGCATTGAGGGTGTCAGAGAGTGGGCCTGATGCTAAATTGAGCGGCTTTTAAGGTCATCCCAGCTGGGAGAGAAAAGACAGCGTCAGCCACCAGGATTGTCATGAGCCCCTGAGAACCGGGAGGTGCCGCCCAGCCATCAGGTCCAGTGAAGGACAGGAAAGGACGCCTGGCCCTTCTCACTTATGTGCCCAGCCTCTAAGCCCTGCGGGCAACCAAAGATGGGCCCTGGGCGCTGTCGTGTGGCTGCACACCCAATGGAGCGTCGATGGCTGGGCTGGCCGTTTGCAGGGCACGTTCAGATGTGCATCAGAGAAGTCAGGGCAACGCGGCTGGGCACAGGCCTCGCTGCCCCGTGAAGAAGCAGGCTGCAGTGTAGGACAGGCAGGCTCCGCCTCATCCCCAGCCCAGCTCCCTAGACGAGGAGGAGGGAGCCTCCTAGCTCGCTCTCTGGTCGAATTTTAAATGGCAGGTTCACTGCTGCCTATTATTAGCGCTGGAAGCTCCAAGCCCTAAAGTTCATGGGCACATCCAGGTACGGCGCCGTCTCTGCAGCAGGGAGGTGATGAGGTGCTCCACAGCATCCCCAGCCCGACTGTGCTAATTGAATTCGAAATTCCAGCCAGATACCGCCCGTCCTCGGGGCGGCTCGCACTGTGGCTTGGTGCGCAGGGGACAGGCAGGTCCTGCTGGCAGCAGGCTTCAAATGCACCCTGCTCCTCTGGGACCTGATGGAGACGCGAGAAAAGACAGGACAGGAAGCAGGGAGGGGAGCGGGGTGGAGCGGGGGACCAGGAGGGGAGAGGAAGGGGCCGGGAGCCGGGAGCCCACCGCCTGCACGCCGGCCCCCAGGGCTGGGTACCAAGAGGTGGCCACCTCCTTCGTGGCTCGCCTCAGCCATCGGCTGGCTTTCTCAATTACTGAAGGCACCCATATGTTCCTCTTGTAGAAATGAGGTAATGTGAACGAGCAAGGCAAATCGCACCCCTGACTCCCACTAGCTGAAGATAATCACTGGAGCACTTGGCATCTGCATCCCCAGTCTTCTATGGCTCTGAACGGTGTTCACAAGAAAACGCAGTCCTGCTGCGTACGGCACGAAACCTGCTCGTTCCATTTAGTGGAGGCCAAGCTGCCGCAGCACAGCACCACCAGGTGCGGTGGTTTAAAGACGACGAGCCCTCCCCTTCGCTGGAGCGCTCCGGGGGCAAGGCCGCGCTCTCCATGCCTTCTCTTGGGGCCCTGTGCCTGTCCTCCTCAGACAGGCTCTGGACGGCAGAAGTGACTGTCGACCTTCCCGGCTTGCACACAGGGAACACTGGCAGCATTGTGAGTGCATGCCGGCCCGCACACGAGACCCTCCTGCACTTTGTAGAAACTTAGTCACTCGCAGCCTAGCCGCAAGGGCTGCTAGGAAACAGTCTTCCTGGGCAGCCCCGGGTCCTCCTGGCTCAGGGAGTAGATGCCAGTGACACCGTCCTCCTTGGGTTTTATGTTAATGACTTTCCACTGTGAGGTGACCATAATTTATGCAACCTCCTATTGGATTTAACTTTATTTTGAAATCAGTAGACTCGCGGGAAGTTGTAAGTTCATTTACAGAGTTGACCCCATGTACCTATCTCCTGCCTGATGTTAACATCATGCAAACCGGAAGTTTGTTTTGCTGTAGTGGAAGCTATCTGGGGGGTGTGTGTGTGTGTGTGCGTGCGCGCGCGCGCGCGCGCGCGCGCGCATGTGCGTGCCCACACGTGCAGCTCCGTGCAGTTTTTTCATGTGTGTAGCTTTGCAGAACCACCATCACAATAAAGATGTGTGACAATACCATCACCTCAGAATCATGCAGAACGAATCTTTCTGAGACTGTTTTTAGCTGCGTAATTCCCTTGAGACCCATCCAAGTTGTTCCATGTGTCCATAGCCCGTTCCTCTTGCTTGCTGAGTAATATGCCATGATACGACTGTCCCATGCTGGCCACTCACCCACTGGAGGACATCTGGATTGTTCTAATCCAGGGCTGCTGCAAAGAAGACTGCAAGAAGCACTTGTGAAGAGGTTTCGGCAGGAAAATACTCTTGTTCCTGTGGCATGTAGTTGCTGTCTCCTCTGATGAGGCCTTTTTAGTTTCGGAAGGAACTTCCAGGGCCGAGGCTGTCCTGGTGGCAGAGCTCTTGCCTAGCATGCCAAGGCCCTGCGTGCAGTCCCCAGCACTGAAAAGCCCCACACCGGAAACCCGAGGTGGCTGCATCAGCCCGCACTCCCGCAGCCGTCCGTGAGTGACCGATTCCTCCCCGTCCTCACCAGCCCTGGGTGCTGTGTTGCTTTCGCTGTTCCGACAGGCATGTGGCGGGATCAGGCGGGTTCTGATTTGCCTGGCGCCACTGGCTGTGGGCGTCGCTCCGCCTGTGCTCCTCCCCCCATACGCTCCCGTAGGTGAGACCCGCATGCGTCGTTAGCCCACTTTCTGCCTTTTCAAGCTCTGGGCTTTGAGAAGTCTTTACACACCCTGCTGACAAGTCCTCCGGCAGGTGTGATTGCGGATGGTTCCTCGTAGCCGGCGCCACGCTCTTACAGGATGGAACTGAGCAGTTGGTCAGTTTTCTGACCGGTTTTCTCCTCGTGGTTCTTGCCATGATGCTGAGCGTGGCCCGCTGGATTCTAGGTTGCCGTGGCCTGTGAGGAC